GGGTGTTGAGTTGGACGGTATCTGTCAAGAACTGTGCGGGGTCTAGGATTTGACAGCTCTCCCAGGGTGATAACTCAGCCTGCGGCTCTTCCTGGTATTGGGGAGAAGAGGTCCCAAATCAGAGACTCTGCACCGGAAGTCCCACAGGCTGGCACAGAGAGCCAGGTGCAGGCCGGTCGCAGGCCGCACAGCCGCTTGCTGCACAGGAAGGAACGCTGCTTCCGGGAAGAAGCAAGCCTGCTCTCCGTCTTGGGGGTAGGGTTGCTCCTCCTGCCAGGGTGCTGGCTGCAAAGACAGGCCTGGAAGGGCCTGGGTCGAGGGTCCTCAGGGCCTTGCCCCCTTGGCACACCCCAGGAGAACGTGCGGCCAGTTGGAGCCCGTGGGGGACTGACTCCCCTAAGCGCTTTTCTTCCCCTCCACATCCCTCCTCCTGCTTTTCTAGGCCCTGGTGGCCGTGGTGGTAATTGTGGAACACTTTTCAAGGGAACAAGAATCTTTTGGGACAAGTGTTTCCTTTTCACAGGGCGTTTTCTCCGCATCACCTGCCTTGCAGACTCTGGCTGAAATTTTTTAAGGGAGGAGGCATTTTTTTTAAGTTCCTGACTGATTGGTCTTGCCCTTTCCCCCTAGAAGTCTCCTAGAGATGCCATCCAACTGCCCAGCTCCTTTGTAGGGTGACTAAGCCCTGTGCTCACATGACTGCAGTTTCTGAGAGTGTGGGAAACACGGTGCTATTGCAGCAGTGTGGATCGTTCTACGCCTTTAGTACATACAAAATCCTCCAACCACAGTGAGGGCGGCACTCACCATACCCCAGGGCCAGACCTGTTCCTTTCATGTTTTATCCAGTTTGAAGTTCACTTCTAAATATGAGTATAGTACTAAGCGTGGTGATGTATGCATATAATCCCAGCACTGTGGAGGCTGAGGCAGGAGGATCGTCACAAGTTTGAGAACAGCCTGGTTTACACAAGTGAGTTCAAGGCCAGCCTGTACTACATGGTGAGATCCTGTCTTAAAACAAAATAAAATAAAACAAAACACAGCCCCAAACCAAAACCAACCAACCAACCAACCAAACAAACAAACAAAACATATATGGGTATGATGCCAACTTCTATTAAGGGATTCACTTGAAGATATAATTTCTTCCTTCTGAAACCACTGACACTTGATTCAATTATGGTACTGTTGACCGTGTATTATATTTTAAGCACACAAAATATTCCAGGTCAAGACCCAGTTCTTCTCATTGTATGGCGAAGACTTCCGAAAGTTGCCCTCCGTGACAGGAAGAAAAGAAGAGGCAAATGGGCTCCCCACTGCTTCTTCCTCCCCACCTTCCAGGGCAGCCAGGTCTTTACTCCTATGCTACTCCGCAGGCTGAACTCTGCACATCTGAAGATCAGAAAAGAAAGCATTTATGTTTATGTTACAGTGACTTAGAAGGAGTACAAACATGCCTAAATGCTTGAGGGGTGTTTACAGTCACCTGCTTCTCCCAGCGTACCAGACAGACAGGCGTTCCCGTTTGGGCAACTGTGTCCGTGCAGTGTGATAAGCCAGGGGTCATTTCTTTCTATTAGTCTGAAGTCAGGGTTGATGGAGCTGTTCCTGGCCTCTTCTAAAATCATTGAACTGTGAGTGAGAAAGCAAAGAAAAGGTTCCTTGCCCAATATTTTCTTCTTGTTTCTTGTGTGGACAGCTAATTGGACCTTCTAAATTCTGTCTATAAATCATGACCTTTGTGACAATGAAAAAATCCACAGGTCCGTGGAGCTGCTTCTAGTTTAAGCCTGGTAGTTGACCACGGGTAAATTCAGCATGTTCAGGGACACGACTGCCAGATTCTCAGCAGGGAAGCCCTCTGCTGGGCACTGACACGACAGCTGGTGTCTGGAGAGAAGGATGAAACGACAGAACGCGGCAAAACACTTGGAAAGCGGTAGTAAGTGGTGGGACGAGAGGACGCGCCACAAATCTCTGTCCACCTTATCATCCACAAGGGACTAAAATCTGCGCTGAGGTGGCAGCCAGAGTTACACTACCTGTGTATAGAAAAGTGAGTAGGGGCTTGATGGAGACTTTAGGAAGAGGGGACATGCGTTTTCGATGGGTTCCTTGTCCGCCCCTGCCTCCTCACATGGGGCTCGAGATCGCCTTCTAACTTGTCTGCCCGTGTGAGGGCTCTCTTCGGTGTACCCTTCACCGCCACAGTGAGCCTTCTGGCCAGGAAGTAAGAGCGTCTCAGGACAGCTGGCAAATGATGAAACGCTTGCTGACTTTTTCTCCTCTGCAGCTGTGGTAGTTGAGTCTCCCACTCCGCAATCTCCCAGCAGTTCCCTTCCCTGGCCCCTTGTCGGGCGGTGCCCAGCGCTGTGCCCCGGGGCCGTGCATGAGCCTTCCCCACTTAGTGCACACGAGGTTCCCCGGCAGGATGGTGTGTAGAACGCTCTGCGTAGTGATAGGTCCTTTGCATGGGTGTTTCCCCCCAAAGACAAAGGTTCCCTCACGTCAGACCCTGTCTGGTTCACCTTGGGTCATCAGAATCAGCTACGGTAGGGGAGACGCGGTAAGTGCCCAGGGAGCAGAATCGCCCGTGCGCTGTCTGCCTCAGCCTCGGCGACCCTGCAGGGAAGGGCAGCGGGGTGGCTGGCTGCCCGCGGGCTGGGCTGGGTGGCTGCCCGCGCGCCTGCGCCCTCTGCCGCCCCGCTCGCCCCGGCGCGTCTCCGTGCGCGTGTGTCTGGAGAAGAGGCTCGGGCGGCAGGCGAGGGGAAGGGAAGAGTTGGGCCGAAGTCGCAGCCTCATTCGCCGATTCTCGGAGGCCGGAGTGGGGCGCCCCCGCCGGCGGCTCCCAACTGCTCGGCACCTGCACAGCCCCCGCCTCCCGCCGCCGCGCTCC